TTTTTATATTCTTTCTCACATAGCAATCACTTTTCATGTGACCTTTTTGACAACAGAAATTACACATAATCAGGGAATTATTCATATGAACAGGTTTAATAAATCTTACTTGTCTTCTCCTATGGAAAGCAAACTCATTTGCAGCAGAATTTATCTTAAAATGAGGTTTTGATTTATTACTTTGAAAACAGTCCTGTTTTTTATGTTGAAGCAACTCATTTAAATCATCCATTCTTCTTTTCAAATCATCTTGTTCCCTTTTGAACATTTCACAAAAACTTGTTTTTCTATCAAGATCCAAGTGTAAAGCAGTCTCACTTTTTTTGAAGTAATCATTTTCAGTTTTCAACTTTTTGTTTTGTTGAAAAAGATTTGCATTATCTCGAAGCAAAAAACTAATTTTCTGTTTTAACTCCTTGTTTCTAACATAAGATTCTTTCAAACTATCATGCAATTTTATAATGAAATATTCAAGATCATCATCATTTTCATCATCACTTTCAAATTGAGAGTTAGAAGATGTTACCTCATCATCTCCAATGGCCATGAAAGCCAATTGAGCAGATTGATCTTCCTCTTCAATTTCACCATCGGAATTGCATTCATTCCATGTGAATTGAAATTTGTTTATTCTTGGTTTTCTTCCTTCTTTCTTCTTCATCACTGGACAGTCACTTGCATAGTGTCCAGGTTGGCCACATTCAAAGCACTGATCAGTTTGCTTTTTGTTGAACTCTAGCTTCCCTTTGTTTCTCGAGTTGTTGAACTGATTTGGGAATGAATTGCTAGGTCCACCATTTCTGAATCTCCTCTTGTTGAGTATTCGTTTGAAACTTTTTGTGATGAGAGCGATATCATTGTCATCACCTTCCACATCTTCTTCATCTAGGGAGGCAAAATCATCTTCATCTTGTGAGGCTTTTAGAGCAATATTCTTTCGCACTTTTGCATCCTCTTCCTCTTGCACCTTAGTCTTAAGTTTCAGCTCATAAGAGGTAAGAGAGTTAATAAGAGATTCAATAGGCATAGTATTCAAATCTCTAGCCTCCTCAATAGCAGTCACTTTATTTTCCCAATCATTGGACAAGGCATTCAGGATTTTTCTATTTTTCTCACTAAGAGAATATTCTTTTTCCAGCACCTCTAAATCTTTAATGAGATCATTGAATCTACAATACATTTGATCAACATTTTCATGAGGTTCCATCTTGAAAGATTCATACTTTGTAACTAGAATGGACTTCTTTTGTTCTCTAACATTCTCACTACCTTCATGAATTTCTTTCAGTTTGTCCCAAATTTCTTTAGCTGACTTGCAACCCTTGACTCTAATAGATTCATTTGAGTCTAATGCACAATATAACACATTCATGGCTTTTGCATTTAAGGTGAGATGAGCTCTATCCACAGCAGTCAGTTCACTTCTTGTTTTCGGTCTAGATGCATGAGTATTTTCATCTATAAGAGAGGCATCATATGGACCTTACTAATAATAAACCACAATTCGATATCAATAGATTGCAAAAAGATAATCATTCTTTCTTTCCAACTCATATAATTTGACCCATTAAACACAGGTGGTCTAATAACAGAATGTCCTTAAAAAAACATAGCATTGTTGGTTGTCATCTTTACTCCAAAGCCGATTGAGCTTAATCTCTAGGAGACCAAGCTCTGATACCAATTGTAAGGCCCAAAACAACCAATGCAAAGATCATAAACGAAACAATAAGTAAATAAAAAGGAAAGGATTGCAAACCAATTAACTACCCAACTCCTCTTGAGCTTGTAGATTAATTGAAACAAGCTACTTCAAGTTGATGAATTACAATCACTCTTGTGTACAAAGGAAGGTTCACCTCCTCCTTGCCCCAAGCAGCACTCGGTCAAGCCAGGACGTTTTACTATCCCTCAGGGGCAACCCTCACAGAGCTACACTCATGAAAGATTCACTCACAAATGAAAAGCTTACAATGAACCTCACACCACTAAGACTACAAATATTCTTTTTGGAGTATTTTCTCACTAAAATCTCTCTAGATCTTTTGTATCTTCAGTGTGCCAAAGTTATTTGAAGTATCTGACCAACCACTATTTATATAGGACCAAGAAAGAGCCTCATTAAAGCTTCCAACGGATAGAAAGTAGCTGAACAGTCAACTAGCCGTTGGTAGTGTCGGACGTTCGATAGCACTGTTTTATGTGTCCGACAGCAGGCAGTGAGTTTGAGAAATTTTCTTCAATTCTTTCGGACGTCCGATAGGCTGGTTTTCTGCGTCCGAAGGTATGATGTAAAACTGAGAATTTTTCTTCAATTCCTTAGGACGTCCGATAGGCTGGTTTTCTGCGTCCGAAGATACTCAATGGTTGTCGGACGTCCGATGCAGTCTTTTTGAGCGTCCGACAGCTTCAGTATACTTTGTCTTTTTCCAATTGCACTTGTTCATGGAATCAAATAATTTCATAACTGAAAATATATCTTGAAGAAATATTAGTATCATCCATTTGTTTTGTAAACATCAAAAGATAGAGATCAAGATCAACAAAGTAGTATCTTGGTAAGTTTGATAAAAAAATCTGATGAGGGGATCTTCTTGGGATATTGTGAAAACAAGAGAGGCTTTAGAGTTTATAATCGTAGAACTCTGATTATAGAAGAAGCTATACATATCACTTTTGATGAATCTAATGGTGACACTTCCATGAGTTGCAGTGAAAATGATGATACAGGTGTTCGAGAAGAATTAAAGAAGCTAACAATCAGCAATCAAGGCACAACTCCATCAGAAAATAATTTAACGGAAGATGAAAATCAAGACAGTCCTGCTAGAGAAGACAATGACAGTGACACTGAAATTCCTAATGATCTTCCAAGAGTCTGAAAATTCGTCCAAAATCATCCCAAGGAACTTATCATTGGGAATCCATCTGAAAAGGTCATAACACATTCCTCCTCTAGATAATTAATAGATAACTTTACATTGGTCTCACATTTTGAGCCCAAAAATGTTGTTGATGCATTGAAAGATGAGAACTGGATTTTAGTCATGGAAGAGGAGTTAAATCAATTTGAAAGAAATAAAATTTGGACATTAGTAGCTAGACCACAAGATCACCCTATCACTGGCACTAAGTGGGTATTTAGAAACAAAATGAATGACAAAGGTGAGGTAATTAGAAATAAGGCCAGATTGGTAGTTAAGGGATACACTCAAGAAGAAAGAATAGATTTTGATGAATCATTTGCACCCGTAGCTAGGCTAGAATCCATTAGAATGTTTTTAGCTTTCGCATGTTTCAAGAACTTTAAGTTATTTTAAATGGATGTTAAAAGTGGTTTCTTAAATGGTTTTATACATCAAGAAATTTATGTTGATCAACCCCTGATTTTGAAAATGAAAATTATCCAAATCATGTTTTTAAACTCTCAAAAGCTCTATATGATTTAAAACAAATTCCAAGAGCATGATGTGAATGTTTGAGTGATTTTTTAATTGAAAATGGTTTCAAAAGAGGTATAGTGGATACTACCCTTTTCACTAAACAAAGTTTGCATGATCTTTTAATTGTACAAATTTATGTGGATGATATTATATTTGGTGCTACTAATGAGAGACTGTGCAAGAACTTCTCAAAATCATGCAAAAAGTGTTTGATTTGAAATGAGCATGATGGGAGAACTGAATTTACACCAAGTGACACAAACCCAAGATGGAACATTCATCAATCAAACCAAATACACCAAGGAACTGCTGAAAAGATTTGGAATGGAGGACTCAAAGCAAATTGGAACACCCATGTGCACATCTGCCAAGCTTGACAAAGATGAAGAAGGTACAAAAGTTGATGAAAAGAAGTATAGATGTATGATTGGTAGCTTGCTTTATTTAACAGCTAGTAGACCTGATATCATATTTGCTGTGTGCTTGTTTTCAATCTTGTCCAACAGAATCACATTTAACTGCAGTAAAAAGAATATTTAGATACTTAAAAGAAACTGTGAATTTTGGCCTTTAGTATCCTAAGTATCATGAATTTTCCTTGTGTGGATTCTCTGATGCTGATTTTGGTGGCTGTAGAGTAGATAGAAAAAGTACAACTGGTATATGTAATTTTCTTGAAAATTATTTAGTGTCCTGGTTCAGCAAGAAACAGAATGCCATTTCTTTGTCTACAACCGAAGCAGAATATGTTGTTACTGGTGCTTGCTGTGCTCAATTGTTGTGGATGAAAAACACATTGAATGATTTTGGTTTAGTATATAATTCTGTACCTATGTTTTGTGACAACACCAGTGCCATTAATTTGACAAAAAATCCTATTCAACATTCTAGGACAAAGCATATAGATATTAAGCATCACTTCATTCGTGATCTTGTCCACAAGGGTGAAATTTGTATTCAATATGTTTGTTATAAAGATCAAATTACTGATATCCTCACAAAATCCCTTCCACTGAATCAATTTGTGTATCTGAGAACAAAACTGGGCGTCTCAGAAAAAAATCTCTAAGTTCCTCTTTGGTCACTTCTATCGGACGTTCGATAGATTAAAACGGACGTCCGACAGTGTTCTTCATTTTCTTCTGAAAAAATTCTGGTTCAGACGATTGCGTCGGACGCGTCACTTCGTTCGGCTGTCCGACACTCAAAAATTGCTTCATATAAGGAAGCCACCTACCTCATTAAGTTCACTTACTTTCTTTGTCTCGGACGCAACCCTTCAGTTCTCTCTCAAAGTTCAAATTTCAAATTACTCTCTCCTCTAATCAAGTTCCAAGAAATTGATTCAATGGACACCATTACACCCCTATTGTCCGTTGTCTGAACATAATAACCTCTTCCAACTTCCAATTGCCCCATATTTTTCTAATTTATATCAGAAACCCTAAGCATTCAAATCTGACTCCTTGTGGTTGGTTCGTGCATCACCATTGCACTTTTCATCAATATTATACACTTTGCACCACTCCCTACATCAACATCCAACTACATTACATCATGGTTAGGATTAGAGGTGGTTCTACGGGGGTCGGACGCTCTTTTAGACTTAGGGATGAGGACATTGAAATTGTGGAACCGTCTGCCAAAGTGTCCAAAAAGAAAACTACAAATAGAGGTGGAAAAGTGAAGCAAACTGCTCAAAAGAATCGAGATGCTCCAACTGTTGAGCCATCTAATGAGCAGATGGAAGAACATCACTCTGAAGAAATGGAGGAACCCACCCATGCTGAAGTGATTGTCTCGAAATCATCTGGGAAAAGAAAAAGGTCTGCCCAAAAGGGAAGCACTGATCAATCAAATGCAGAGAAAAATGCTGAAGTTCAGCACACCCCTGAACCATCTACCAGAAAATCTCCACGAACAAGGCTTGAGGTCCAGAGTACTGAGTTATCTGCCAAGCAAACTGCAAAAAGGAAACGGTCTGGAAAGAAACCAGTAACTCAGCCTGCTAAGGAACCCTTTCCTCTGCCAAAATTCATTAATGATGAGGTCAGAGACAGATTTGAGTTGGTCTCTCACAAAAGGGATTCATCACTCAAAGGACCATTTCCCTTCCTGAATTTCGTAAGCTTGACCTCGAACCCATCATTAAGCTCTTTGAGTTCTAAAAATGGATTCATATTCTATTCATTCCCAATACTTTTTACCATGATATGCTTTATTAGTTCTTTGCAAATCTCAGAAAGGGTAACTCACACACTGAACTCATATCTAGGGTCAACTCTGTAGATATCACGTTAACTCCTGATATTGTGAATTCCATTCTGAAAACAAGCATTGAATCTGGTTTTAAAGGAAAAGTTACAAATTTCTTTTCATATGAAGAATATCCCTCTGCTTATCATCATTTTTATATTGCCAAACTCATGACCTATTTTCGATCACATTTCAACACTCCTGCTGAGGCAAGATTAGAAGATCTTAGCCCTCAGAACTTGATAATTTTTACCATCATTTCAAATCTGTTGGTGCCCACTGATGGCCACAGAACTGATGCGAAAAAATTTGAACTTTATCTCTTTTACTGTTTTGTTGAAAAAGTTAGAATTGACTTTGGTTTTGTGATGTGCAAATTTCTGCTCAAGATTAGCGGTGATAGTCGTAGGAAGCTCTCCTATGGAAATTTTCTGACTCCTATCTTTGCCCATTTAAAAATTTTTTTTACTGAAAAATCACCCAAAGACAGCGCCTCAACAGTTTTCTCACAAGCATTTTTTGAAAGAAAGAATCTGAAATTTTTTGAGGGCCATTGGTGTTATAAGGAGACTATTATAGAAACTAGAAGAAAAAATCTTCACGAAACCCCTGTCACTCCTAGAACTCCTCGTGATCAGTCCATGTATGTCTCTCCATTCACCATCCACCCTAGAAAATCAGCTAGCAAGTCATTCTCTTCCAATTCTGAGGTCATCTCCTTGCTCGAGGACCTTAAACAACATATTCTGCTCATTGAAGATGGTCTCATGATGACCATGTCTCCTGCCTAGCAGTCCACCTTTATTGAAAAAAGGAATCTTCTCGTGCCTCCAATCCCTGAATTCAATGAAAGTACTCATAAAAAAGAGCCTAGACCTCAGCCCACAGAGCATACTCCTGGTACTAAAGCCACTCCAGAGGCACATGCTTCCAGCTCTCAGCCCAAAGATAAAGGCAAGGCTCCTGTAACTGTGGAGACAACTGAAGATGATGATGATGATGAAACTGAGGATGAAGTGGATCCTGAGCAGTTTCGTCTAACCAGGAGAAGGTCTGGATCATTGAAAATCACCATCTAAGTGCTACTAGGACTTTTCATTTCATCATTAGGATAATAGTTCATCTTTTGCATTGAAAAACTTTTGCTGTGCTATGTATTGAGGATCATAATCCTCTTTTGATCTGTAAAACTGCTATTATTCTATTAACTGATGTTCCTTTTCTAGGAATGGATGCTTTTATCATTTGCTGTGAATGAATGCCTTTATCCTTTGCTGATAATGTTGATATATTGATCTGGTTTGTCAAATTGATAATGTCTATTGAATGCTGACAAATTTGATTGCTATAGCTGCTTTATGATGACAAAAAGGGGAAGAAAATGGATATGGATCGTATAAGTGAGGGGGAGTTGCGTATACTCTGGTCATGAAATCTATAAGGAAAGGGGAGTCAAGTTGAGGGGGAGTTGAATTCTTTTTGATCCATCCAATGTTTTGTCATCATCAAAAAGGGGAAAATTGTATATCTCAGTTCATAACTTTTGATGATTACAAAACAATTGAATGCTACTAACATACTTTGAAGAGTTCATTTCAGGATTTGGAACAAAAACCAGACCAAAGACTTGAAGCTAAAACTGGATCAAGGTTTGACAAATTACTGAAATTGCTGTCGGACGCACAAAAGGACCATATCGGACGGCCGACAACTATTGAGTAAATTCGGATGCATGAAGAACTCACACTCGAACGTCCGAAGGTAATGTGTCAAAACATCTATGATCATTGACCTCGTTCGGACACACAAAATCAGAGCATCGGACGTCCGACAAACGTTGCTGCTCTTTGGACGCAAAACACTGGAGCATTGGATGTCCGAAAGAAATAAAGAAGGATTTGCAAGTTTACTTTCGGACGTATACTGTGGAGGGACCGGACGTCATAAGGATTGCAAGAAATCATCTTGAACTCACTGTCTTCGTTCGGACGCAGAAATTCAGAGCACCGAACGTCCGACACTACCAACGGTTAGTTGACCTTCCAGGTACCTTCTATCCGTTGACAGCATTAATTGAAGAATTTTTTGGTCTCCTATAAATAGGGATTAGTCAACTCCTTAAAATAATTTTTACACATTAAGTTTACATCAGATCTTGAGTGATTCAAGTGTGTGAATACTTCAAAAAGAAGATTTGTACTCTTAGTTGTGTAATCTCCTTTTAGCTTTTCAAGTGTGATTCAATTTCTTCAATAGTGTAACTTTACGAGGGTTATCCGTGCGATTGTAAAACTTCCTTACTTGATCGGGTGAGACTTGAGACAAGGAGGAAGTAATCCCTCATTTGTACACAAGAGATTAGTTGAAAGTTGATCATATTAAAGAAACTTGATATATATAAAGTGATATTCAAATTTAGTCAAGTTTGAAGTTTGGTTTGCATTTCCATTCCTTCATTTACTGTCCTGCTATATATATATATATATATATATATATATATATATATACACATATATATATATATTGCTTACCTGTTTTACTCACAAATTACTTGTGCTAATCCTTCAACTGCTTTTCAGTGAGGTCCTCTTGAAAAAGAAAACTAGGTCGAAAAGAAAAGGAGGTGACTCATATCTTGGCATGTTTTTAGATAACCTAATTCACCCCCCTCTTAAGTTGTCTTCGATCCTTACACAAGTACACCTCAACCATGCCAGTTTGTTTCCCAATACAGACACCATGTCTATAACATCATCCTCACTTTCTATATTCCGAAGTTTGACGCTACAATCTCCACCAGGGACTCTATAAAGCAGTTTCACATTTTCTTCATATCCGACAATAGTGCAAAAGCCATGGAGATGTGACATGTTAACTGTATTTGCAATAATACCTTCAAATGATTCCATACTCCCCCCCCCCCCACAAACTTTTCTTGTGGTGGTCCAAAATATACCCCACCGTAATATAGTTTTAGTGTAAAGCAATCCAACTCATGTCCTGTGATTTTTTTGGGCATAAAAGACAAAAAAATTTTTAATTAGGCATCCACATGCTCGGTCACAATCCTGTAACCCAATTAGGTAGCATGACAACAACAACATAGTGCATTTTTCACAGCAAAGGGACTGTCAAAACTAAAATAACAACAGAATCCACTACACATATGCCACATCTTATATCTACCATCATCTTATCATTTAAATTAGAAAAAGGGTAAATCTACCAACTGTATTTCAACAACCAACAACATCTATCAGATTCGAGCTTCAACTCATTAGCAAAAAAATTAATTTCAAACATCGCACATGCAGGCCAAGACTTACCGGAAATCCTCACTGCCATCCCATCGAAATATTCATCCTCCAGCTTTTCCTTGCTCTGCTCTGTTGCCCGCGAACCAATTTGGGAATTCCGCTCTATTTTCGTCATCTTATCTCCCTCCATTGCTGGAATTTTGAATCGGTTTCAAACCCCCAATTTCTTCCGCTATTTGCATGCAAAATGGTTTTCTGTCTTGGAAAACCCCTAATTTCACAGGATTCCCCCAATTCGGATGCAAAATGGGCTCTGCCTTGCTTCCCGTAGAAATTAGGATGCGAACTTTCAAAAAGGCCCCTGCCTGGCCGTTATTTTCTGTACAGATACATGAGTTTTAGGTGGTGACGCCGTATAAGTTCTCAATTGGCACAATAATTTTAGTTAAGGGACTTAATTGGTGTGATAAAACTTTTAGGGACCAAATCGGCTTTAGTAAAATAGTTTGAGGACTAAATTGGTGATTTTTCCTTTAACGAATTTCAGTGGCTTTTTAGTGGTGATGTTATGAAATTGCCACTAAAATTGCTCAAAATTACAGCAATCGCCATCGAAATTGGACCAATCAGAGTCTTCAATTTTGCAAGTTGACAATCCAATTTTCCAATTGAGCAATTTGATTGGACAATTGAGAAAGCAGTTGACTCATCCACACTTTTATAATAGTATAGATTACTCCCAATAATCGGTTGTTTAGTAATACACGGTTGTTACTCTAACAAAAATTGAAAAATACAACATTTTAAAGAGGGAAATTTCGGAGGGAAGTGAAAAATGGTGTGAGAATTAATTTCTTAAAGTAAAATACATACTACTACAAGAAAATTTTCCTTTCCTTTTTTTTTTTTTTTTTGCTTTAGGCATCCATTCAACTTTGACCAATATACACACGGGCGCACACACCATATAATTCAATTTTTGGAAATAAATTTTAAAATGCAATAATTATTTGAAGAAATTTATTCTTTTTCCACAATTTCATGGCCACAATTTTGTATTATACATTGATGAGTTAGGGACATCAAATAAAGGTATTTTAGACAAGGACATAAAAAACAAATTTGGTTTGTACCTTTTTTCTATTAACTTAGTGTTAGTTAGGGTATAGATATCAAAAAATTGAAAATATAATTTAGCAAGTAAATATATCAAAATGTGAATATCTATGTATCTTACACAATAAAGGTTTTTATTTATAACATCAAAAATAGACAATATAAAAGAATACATGCACCTTAGAAATTATTTAAGATTAATATCAACTTTTTTGTATAGGGCCCAGTCCCAATGTGTATCATGCCTATATTCAGGTAATTTCATGTATTTACATCTTTCGTCTATATAAGACTTTTATTTTTCTTATTGTATATTATATAGATGTCTCTAAATTGTATCATATCTCTACTCGCTGCAAGGTTGATGTGTGTATAAATAGTTTTCTCACGATCATTCTGTTCTATGGTTGATCGAAATTTCTGATTTATGATATGCAGAAAAATCCAGTTCACAACAATTATATTCACAATAAAATCGAATTGTATGATGAAATGGTTGTTGTGGCTGGGAAAGATCTGGCCACTGGGTCTTATGCAAAATCATTTATCGATGTGAATTTGAAAACTCAGATTTCTTCCTAAGACAAGTGTATAGACAAGTGTTCAAAAGAACGTGAATAGTGCAAGATCTTTCGAAGTGAGAGCAACATCATCGGGAACCAAACAACAACGTAAAAGAAATTGAAAAGACATTGAAAAGATGTCTCAACAACGTGGAGAAGGCTTTGAACAAAATTAGTACAAACAAACTTGATATCAACCAACTACATGATGAGATTATGAAGATAGAAGGTTATAACGAAGACATTCTGGATTTGATATTCAATCATTTGGTGCAAAATGAGAAGCTGGGAAAAGCATTTATGATGAAGAATCAAAGACTTCGTTTGATTTCTCTCGAGAGGTTCAAGAAAGATTTGAATGTCGAATGAAGCACTTACTATGTTTCATAATGTCTCACAATAAAAAATGTTCTATGTTTATTTAGCGAATTGTTCCGGTTCTCTCCCTGTTGGCAAAATTCAAACCTACAAAAATAGGATTTAGCCAAAGGTTTATTTTTTCTCTTTTCTTTTAAGGAACTATAGTAGTTATACTTGTGGCCTTTATTCCCTGGCTGTTCCAGTGACATTTTGTGGATGTTTTGCATGAAAAGGATATATAATGGCGCATGCCTGTCAAATTTTCGGACTCTAGGTTAACCTTTAAGCATCTAGCTCTACTTATCGTAGGAGAACCATGGTAAGGAACATGCTAAAGATACATGGAGAAAACTTATGGAGTTTCCAGGAAAGGCAAGGACCAGCAGCAGGAAGAGAGAAGGATCTCTCACAACAGATCTCCCCTCATTATCAGTTCATTTAGGCGGCTTATATGTTAATTAATACTTCATTAAGTTAATTCCTATGTTATCTTCTACTTCTTCCTCTTTTACTCTGATTTTATCGCTATTCTCTACTTCTAAAGTCCGTTTCTCCATAAATCTGCACCAGCATAACAGTCACCGAAACTCTTCTACTAGACCAATCTTTCAATTTTTTATTTTCCTTGTTTTTTCAATGGTACAAGACAATGACATGATACTATACCAATAAGAATAGTGTTCGGTTAGGTTTTCTTGACTTTTAACTCTTCTTTCCCAGCCCAAGTGCAATAATGAAAAACAAACCAAAAAAATGTGTTTTATTTAGTTCATTTAATGAAAGATGTTGCATCTAGTATAGAAGTTACCTAATTTTTTCTATTATCACTCATTTGAGACAACAAACAAAATGTTGCGGCATCCAATTTGATAAAAGAGATTCTTCACCAGTTAATAATTTTTTTTTAAAAGAAGATCAAAAGCTAATTCATTAGTGTCATTAATATTTCCATTTAAGAATTCATGGTGTAATTTGAATAAGTATTTTATAAAAATGATAATATGATTATAATGGATAGAAAGTAAAAATAACATGTAATGAGAAGAATGATTGAGAATAGAAAAACATTTGCAACATATCAACAAATACTAAAAAAGGAAGTTAGAAAATATTTTCACTGACGACCCAAACATCGGAAATTTATGAAAAAAAGAATTTGGAAAATATTTTCACTAAATAACCAAACATTGGAAAATTATGGAGAAGGAAAAGATTTTTCAAGAAAATGACTTCGATGGTCCGTTTGGTTTGTCAGTGATTTTGGAGTGATTTTAGGGGGTCATAAGATCTTGTCTTTGCTTTGAAGAATGTTTTGCAAGGATGACTTGCACTGTATTTTGGTAATCTTAAAATTTATACTGTTTGACTTAATAAGAACTTTCTGGAATGAGTTTACTTGAGCGAAGACATTAATTGAGTAAAGCAAAGCTCGTTCACTAATATGGTTTAAGATGGTTTTAGATATGGACTGCATTCTGTTTGATTTAATGATTAACTAAAAACTAGGACACTAATTCGTACTATTAGCCTAATGTTGAGTGGTGAGGCAATATAGGGCTATGTGTTTGTTGATGTTTTTAATGCCTAAATTGGACTCTGCTGTGCTTATTTGCAATAAGTGTCGCTCCCACTAGTTTGGCGCAAAAATCTTTGTCCTCATTTAATTTAGCGGGACAATGGTAATCTTGCCTTTGAACTGTTTAGAGCATGGCAATAATCTCGCTAAAATTACTGTGAATATATTTGATGGTACTTTATAATGTTAACAAGAGTAAACGATCCAATTTTTCTTTAATTTGCCTGCCCTTTCCATCTTCCCGGCTTGCGGAGAATTTGCAAGCCTCCTAAGCTTTGGTTGACCACACTTTCTTATTCTTTGGTGTTGGGAGGTAAGGTTCACTTGCCTTTGCTGTTTGTCTGGTGTGCATTATTTTTTCCTTTTCTTCTGGTGTGTTGTGTCGAAGTATTTTTCATCGGTTCACTTGTTCACTTACCCTTTTCTTGTCTTACTTTTGAATTTCATAAGATGGATCACTATATAGATCAATATAAAGATGAGCAAAAAGCAAAAATGTAGAGTAGTTGTGGCATATCATTTCGTTACTGTGGCTTTGTCAGCAGCTTGGTGGCTGTGTTTTTAAACTCGGACCGGACCGGCCGGTCCGACCGGTTGAACCGGGAACCGGCCAAGTGTCCGGTCCGAGCTATCTTAAAAACTCGGATTGGTCAAGACTCGATCAAACCCCGGTTTTGACCAGGTTTAACCGGAAACCTGAAGAACCCGTACGAACCGGGTTTTTCTTATTCTCCATTTTTAAATTCTTTTTTACCCTTCCTGACCTCTTAACCCCAAATCCTTGTGAGCTCCGCCTCCTCCGCAAATCCATTTTCACTCTTTGACTTCAATTCAAGCATGAAAAATCAATGTTTTACCCCTTTTTTAAAATAAGATATAATCTTAGATCTTGTATTCAAAAGGAAAAAAAAAGACCCAAAAATGCAAAAAAAAAGCGTGGAGAAGAGAACAGTTTGCAGATAAAAGCATGATATTTCATGGGTTTGAGAACAAATAACTAATAAAATAAGAATGAAAATGAAATAAAAAAAAGATGAAGAAGAAGAAAGGAGTTGCAGAATGGCGTGGAAGATGAAGAAAGGAGTTGCAGGAAGATGAAATGACACCGTCAGGAGTAGAGGAAGAAATGAGAGGTGTGGCGTGGGGTCAAACTTCAAAGCACTTTCATCTGATATAGGATCAAAACATTTTCAATATTATGTTTTGATCCTTAAGTTGTTAAAAACTATTAATATACCTCAAATATTTCATACTTTATAAATATTGTCCTAAAGTTTGGTGTTATTTTTTAATCAAGTCCATAATTTTAATTCTAAACTTGTTAATATTCATTAAATAATATAAATTGCTCCTTGATTATTCTAATTTCTTTGTATTTTATTGTTAAATACATTTGAAACATTAAACATATATGAATATACTTTTGTTAATATTAACATGATCTTAGATATTTTAAATATAATATTTTAATTTCTAAATAATTTTTATTTATGACGTCATCTAATTAAACCCCCGGTCGAACCCGGTCGAACCCATTGACCCCTGACCCCTGACCCCGACCGAGTCGATACCCAGTCCGAGTCTGAAAACATAGCTTGGTGGTAGAAGAAAAAGATAACGAAGGATTTCAGTGTTGACTTCGAAGTAGAAATAGATATACGTAAGGTGTCTCTAGAAGGGAAATGGAAATTTAGACTCAATAGGGATTGTTTTATTGGTTTATGTATCAATTTAAGCATGCCTTTATTTTTTCCTTATTGAATATCAATAGCAGTGGTAACATTTTCATCCACTTTAGTTCATTAGCAACATTTTTTGCTTTGGCTTTTAGGTTATAAAATTTATAGTTTGTGTACTTTTAGCATGTCTGTTTGTGATTAGGATTGACGGCGACTAAAAATACTTAATAGAAGAATTGACTCTGACTCAATTAGTGCTTGTTTGAATCTAGTTCACCAACTAATTAAAACCAAATAAAAAAATAGCATTTTGTGTTTATGAAAGCTCGAAATTTCATTAGAGTTTGACTCAATTAATACAATATTTGAAATTTATAGGTAAAAGATTTAGTTTGAGAATTATTTTAGATTGTTCAATAAAAGTTCGTTTGGGTTTTACTCAATAAATGAACAAATGAGTTTGAACACAATTTTAAACTCATTATATATATAAGTTAAAATACAGAAGTGTTCGACTTAGTTAGGTTCATTGACGCCCCTATTTGTGGTTTGGGTTGCAATTGATCATATATCTACACCTCTTTCCTAAAAGAAACAATCTTGTCATAATTTCGATTTACTAGTAGATGAACAATGTATAATTGTGATTCTCTTTTTCCTTTTTTGTTTAATCACTTTACTTTCATAGTTATATATTGGAACTTGATGCAGGAGGCACAGTTCAAATATTTGTCAAAGGTCAAAGCTATGCCTTTTTTTTTTTTACATAACATTTTGGTTTTCTATAATTTAGATTCTTAATTTCTAATAGTAACATGTTAGATGGTGAATTAAATACTTATTGTCTACTTGCAATATAATGGAGCTTTAGAGAGATCTAGTTGTAGGCCATAGTAAAACTGTCATTATTATGGAGTATTTATTTAACAGTGTACAATTTTTAATTCTATGTGGATTTCAATAATTTTTAACCGTCCAATAAAGAAGTAGGAATTTCAAATGAATTTCACATCAATTCTATGCATTTGCCAAACCAAGGAATTCCAATGCTTTGGAATTAAAATTTATAGAATTACAATTTTATAGAATTGTGATTCCAATTCTATAGAACCAAATGCAGCCTTAAAGAAATTATTAGCTTGTAGGCACCCTGTTTTTTGTTTTTGAAAAGTGTAGGCATTTTATTTTTAAACTCGATTTTCTTAGGCTTGTGGTATCAATTCAAAGAAAATTCTCATTTGAACCTCTTGTTTAATTCTTTTTGGGTTCAAAAAGATAAACATGCATGTAGGCCAATTGAATTGTAGGTCCGATTGTCTTTTCTTATTTTTCAAATGGCGCCCAACAGAAATCCCCAATCCCATTATTAATTTTAAAAAATGAAGAAGAATACAACATGAAAAGACTTTACCTGGAGAAGGAGTCCTTTCATCTCTCATAAAACATTTTTATCCAATCCAAAAAAAAAAAAAAAAAATCCACCGGGAGAACAAGCCGGTGTCGTTTTTGCAGGAAAACCATCGCCACCACAACCTTCTTCAATAAAGAAATACTGTAAAATTCTCGTTTCTCTTTCAACTTTTAGTTTTCTTGAAGTTCATGCAGAGAGTATGTGAAATTGGCCTTACTGTCCGTCTTACTTCTAACCTAGCATGGTCGTGTGATTTTTTTTCTTGTTTGATTCTTTTGTTGTGTTACTGCTGCAAAGATGGTTAATTTGGTTTTCAGGCTTTTCTGTAGCGGGAATAGTCTAAGACTTGTACTTGTCTATTTAGTGTTTGATAAAATGCCCAAATGAAAAGAAAAATTGGAAACCAGTAAACAGATTTTAATGCCCAAATGCTGGCCAGAGGAGGTTTTTTCTCGTGCTGTACTTAAGCTTGGAGGAAAGAAAACAGAGCGAAAATGGAGACCCAGAAGCTTGCTCGCTTGGGAGAATGTTATTTTTTTCCAAAATTCTAAATTTAGTCCCTCAGCTTTTCCTTGTTTTCGGTTTTGCCTGTAATTTCTATGTCTGCAGATTGGCCCTGGAACTTTGTTTGATAAATTTTCGATTAGGTTCCGGAAGACAGATTCTTATTGTTTTTGGTTTCCGTCCCTAAAATTTTTGTTAACTGCAATTTAATTTCCCTTATGTTCCTGTAATTGTTAATTTAAGTACTTTCATTTTTCATGTTTTCAAGTTGGCCACTAGGATTATATTAGTTAATTATTAGATTCATTATTAGTTAATTCATTATATTAGTTAATGCTTAATTATACTTATGCTGGCAAATTTAAATGTGGGTCTTCTCATAAGTAGCTTTTCAAAAGGTTAGTTTTGGGCTGTTAAACTTCATGTTGTTGTTTTCTATGCGATTGTTGATTTCTGATTCCCTAGTTGGAGAACCGTGTCTAAAAGTTTCGGGGTTGGGGTTGGGTTATAAGTCCCTGGATTGCCTCAAGAGTTGCCGGTTTTTGGGGTTAATTTTGGGATTAGGTTTATAAATCAACAAAAGTCTAATTACGGCTGTTGAAAAAAAAAAAAACTGAACACTCTAGTGAAAACTGCAAAATTAAAAATTGGGGTGCAAAAAAATAAGAAAAATATCTTATTGACTCTGAAATTTCCCACAGAATCTCAAATCAGATCGGCATGCTGAACCAGAAAGGTTGTGCTAGAAACCTCCTGCAAAAAATCTTCTTCTTCTCTTGTCAAATTTCGCTTCATTCTCTCTCCAACTGCCGGAATCTTTCCCGCGTATTCATCCAAAGACGTGCTTATGTAGATGTCTACATGGACTGGAAGAAAGACACATATTTTGAATCAATTGAATCCATCCACAGATCAATTGAACTCAAGCCCATCATTGCCTTGAAAAACTGCATGGTCTCAGCCTCACCACAGGACTACTGCATCCCCATCTCTGCCTTCTCAAAGAGAGGTCTAGAATTGGGGATACCATTTAAGGTGGCTAGGTTCTTGAGAAAATACCCATCTTTTTTTGAGGAGTTTGAAGGTCCTAAATATAATTTACCATGGTTTAAACTGACCCCTACAGCTATTCAGATTGATAAAGAGGAGAGAGAGGTTTATGAAGAACATAAAAATGATATAGTTGATAGGTTAAAGAAGTTGATTGTAATGAGTGTTGGAGAGCGAAAAGTGTTGCCTTTGAAGGTAATTCAAGGTTTGCAATGGTACTTGGGGCTGCCAGATGAGTTCTTAAGGCACCCGGAAAGAAATCTTGATGGGCACTTCAGGATTGTTGAAATGGGAGATGGGTTGAAGGGACTTGCTGTTGGGAGCAATGGTAATGATGGAGTAATGATGTCAATACTACAACAGAATGCAATGAAGAAAGGAGTCTATGCTGGTGGTGAAAGGGAGGCAATTGCATTTCCATTATTTCCATCAAAGGGTTTGAGGCTGAAGAGGAAGATTTCTGATTGGATGAATGAGTTTCAGAGGCTTCCATATGTTTCACCATATGAGGATTCCTCTGACTTGAAAATGGATAGTGATTTGTCTGAGAAGCGGGTAGTTGGTATTCTTCATGAGCTGCTTGGTCTCTTTGTTGAGCATGCTGCTGAGAGGAAAAGGCTTTTGTGTTTAAGGAAGTGCTTGGGGTTGCCACAGAAAGTTCACAAGGCGTTTGAGAGGCATCCTCATATGTTTTATCTATCTTTAAGGAACAAGACGTGCACTGTTATCCTTAAAGAAGCTTATCGTGAAAAGTCGGCTATTGAGGCCCATCCAATTGCGAATGTGAGGAAGAAGTATATTAATCTGATGAAGGAATCAGAGATTATACAGAAGAAGAGGAGAGTGAATAACAGAGCTACTAAAAATGAAGCTAATGTGAATATGAAGGACTTGGATTGTATGGACGACGACACGGCTGAAGTAATAAATCAAGTATCTTAACTGATGTATAATGGTTTATAGAATCTGGATTTGGTGAACTGGTCCACTTGCTATTTCATACTACTACTACTCATTACAGGTATGCACTTCATTTCTCTGCATTTCCTGCTTCACTTGCAGAATATGGCTTCCCTTTTTTATTGTTGTGGTAATCATAATGCACAAAATGCACAAAATTTGAAAACCAAAGCCGTCTTGCAATCATGTTGTGCATTGTTGTAATATACAAATCATACTGCTACTGGATTTGACTTCTAGAAAGCCTTCTAAAGGAAAAATAAATTTCCACTATAGCCAGTAGGATTTTCAGTTATGCAGTGGTAGTCTATCATTTCTGGACCCTATTAATCCTGAAAATTTGTGTTGGTACTTCGTTAAGATCTCATTATTACTCTTTTTCTTTTCTTCCTACTCACTGTGCTTTTTCCTACAAGGCAGCTTACTAGCTGTATTATCACGGGTCACTTACTTTTGGTTGTTGTGGAATTGGCTATAAGAGTATTAGAATATTTTCTACATTAGAATAAAGAAGCTTAATGAGTTATACTCTCATATTCTGGTGCAGTGTTGTTTGAGGTAGAACTGGCACTATTGCACTCAGAATGTAGTGGCTACGTTCACCTCCAACTCGCCTCATGAGTTAGGTTCTACTTCTGATTTTTTTCTTTTTTCTTTTTTTTTTGGAAATATCTGTTGCTATGATGGCTAGTACGTAAATGCAAAGCTAGTTGCCTTTACCTAAAAACTTTTTGCAGAATGTTAGGTATTTAGTTGAAATGCATTATCAGCAAATTATAATAATAGCTCAAAGTAAAGAAGTTTCCTCATTTTCATGTGTGATTTTGCTGTTTTGGTTGCAATTGATCATTGCAGAGTATGCACTATTATAGTGATACTTTTTAATCATCCCCTTGAATATGGTGATTGCAACTTATGATGCTTATTGGTTGCCTAAACATATTTAGCCTGTTGTAGTTGGAAAACTTTTCTGATTTGATTTTAGACTGTGGCAACATGAAAGTAATTGACACTATTGTGTATAGACACAGAAAATAGACAGAAGGGAAGGAGAATGGCAAAAACATCCTTGCCATTTTTAGAGTCCGCAATAATTTACAAGCTCAACAAGTGCTTGATCATGCATCTTTGCTGCTAAAACTTTAAAAAAAAAAATCCTTGCATGGACACCCAAAAATGGTGAGAGAAAGAAAGTAAAAGATGATAAGTGCCCCTCCCTTTTTTTTTCCCTTTGATGTAAAACTGGTTGGGTCCTATTGAAGCCCCCTCAATCTCATGTGATTGTATTGAAGTTAATTTAAACAAAGAAAAAGGGGAAAAAAAAAAGAGAGAAGACCCTACAGGATACATGAATGTTAAGAATGCCCCCGTCTTCTATATACAGGTTCTTCCTGGGCTTGTGCAGAACATGAGCGACCATCTTATTTGAAAAGACAAAAGAGAGAAGCAGAGAAGAGGTTTGACGTAAACTAGGTGGGGCTCCTAACAAATCCCCCACCATCTCAGGTGGTTGTATAATAGTTAAAAAAAAAGGCCCTATTTTGTAGCTTGGATACAATGAATGTTAACAGTGTGTGCTGTCTTTGATATACAGGTTCTGCTTGGATTAGTAGAGAACATGAGTAACCATTTTGAATGAGATCTTTGCAGCTCCCCAGTGTAATTTGGATAGTAGAGTCCAATCTTTGTTTTTGTGGTTTTCTGCACAGGTTACAATCACAATGCAGAAACTCTAGCCTGCATCCATGGGACCACCTTAATCTACAATTCCTAATACTTAGTAGGTGCATTTTTCAAGTTGTCATGTTCACATTGTAGATTGTAAATGGATTCAATAAGGTATTATAATGAAATGTAGAATTAAAATTTGTGTTTATTGACACCTCTGTTGCAAATATGGGCCATGAATGCATATGAGCCTCCCTTTATGCAGTAGCACTGGCACTTTTACATAGGAAGCAACATGAGCTAGTGAGTTCCATTCAGCAATTTATCAAGAGTTCTTAAACTGTCTTTTCTTATCTTGGGAAATAAAATGTGTTTTGAACTTGCTTTTATGGAGCCTATATAGTGCGGTGTTGGCTAGTAGGTTCGGATGATGTTTATAGCTCTTGATTCATGACTAATTTGAGGCTTCTTTTGTTGGCAGTGGAGGATCTTATTGTAGACTTAGAGTTTGCCTGGTGCCAAAATTCATGTTTTGTCGAATTTTCAGCATTTTATTCATGTTTGAAATTGAAATGATGCTAATTGAATGAAGAATCTATATGCTGAGGAGGCCTTGGTCTAGTGGCTGAGGTTGAGACCCCAAGACTTAGGGTCTGTTTAACAATATAAAAAAGTGCTGAATCTGAAACTTTTTCAGACATTCAGATGTTTTGAGTGTTTGATAAACGAAAATCCATTTGCTGAACTTGTTAAATAGTGTTGAACTTGTGTGTATTTTTTTCAGCACAATAATTCTAATTGAATGTTTAATTCTGATAAGAATCAATAGAATTGTTTCAACTACCTTATCTTATCTACTAAATCTATCCTTGTTTGTTAGTTATGTTCAAAATTTTTATCTAATTAAATAACCTAATATTCTCTATCTAATGATTTTCTATTTCTCTTTTCTTCCTTTTTAATGACTTTCATATCTTCTCCATACTTCTCATATAATATATTTCATCTTTTTTATTAATTTGATTTAAAAATAAATATTATCATTTTCATACCTAACAATTTTAAACTAATTAAATCATAGGTTCTATTTCTTTTTTGGATGAAAAGGTATAAGGGCAAAATTGTTAAATTTAACTTATTAAGCATTCAGTTATGAATGTTTATCGAACAGTATAAATAGGTTTAGCATTAAAATTCAGACATTCATATATTTCTTTTCAGTGCTTAAAATTCAGCAAATTAATTGTTTCACCATTCAGATTTCAGAATTCATACTTCAAAATTCAGATTCAGTTTTATCAAACGGAACCTTAGAAGGTCTTAAGTTCAAATCCTTCTTCCCCCTCCCCGCTTCTTAAATTCCATCCCTCCCCTACTAGAAAAAAAAAAAGAATGCAGAATCTATACATGCTTCCACTAAAAGGATAAAATTATTCTCAGATTTGGTAGCTTGCGCTTCGACACTTTTCTGGTGTTAACATACTTTTTTATCATAGACCTGATGTACCAATAACGTGTTTTATAGAATGAATCTTGTGCATGTTGTTTCGCTTTCTTGTTTCCCGTTCCCATATTCCGTCTAATTAAGTCTTTTTAAAAATCAAGTCAGTGAGCTGTAGTCTAGGTCAGGCAGCATGAGAGGACAAAGATCTTTGTTTTCTGTCAGTAATCCTTGCGATTCTGAAAAACTCCTCTCATTGCATCATTCCTCTCCCCCTGAGGCATCTTTCTTTCACAGAAGACGAGAAAAATGGTGCTTCATTTTTGGTTCAATTTGAACTGCCAAAATATTGGGGTGTTAGACCTGTGGCAACTAAACACTTGTTCCAGCTTTATCTGGGCATGATGCCTTAAACTACACCGTGCTGATATGATATATTTGGGGGCTGCGTGTGCGCAGGTGCATGCTCGTGCGCGTGAGAGAGAGAGAGAGAGAGAACTGTTTTGAGTGCCTGAAGTAAATGATGCTACCTCAGTTTAAGAAACCCTGAGCTTAACGGTGCATATTGCAGCTCTAGACGTGTCAAATTTGGGATTGTTGTAAGAATCGTGCAACCAAACTCATGGGGGTAGTGTGGTTGACCACAACCAGCATGAGAATAGACTACAGTATTGGTCCATAATTGTGTTTTCTTTCCCAAAAGCATTGCGTGCTTTTGAAAGAATGTTCCATGAATTAGGAACACAGTTAGTTGAATATGTTTTTCAAGGGAGTCAACTCTTTTTCTTGTTGGACACACTAGAAAAGTTAGGTATGTTTTACCAAGCTTCTTAAGAGTACATTTTAATGTTGCCAATAGTGTTGAAAAACTGAACTTTGCGATGTCTTGATTTTGAGAAGGTTTCTGGTCGCACCGTAGAGATTTTGTTCAACATTGTGTTATTTTTAATGTTTTAAAAGGTTTCTGGCTGTACCTTGCTGATTCAGTCAATTGGATCTGTGCTTTCTGTCTGGAATTACTGTCTTCAATTCAGCATTTCATAAAAGGTTTGAAACTCTAAATAGTAGTAGTACTTTGTGGTATCTTTTCTTTGCATGTTAAGAATGTACATTTCATCTCAAAAGCTCTCAGTTTTGGACTGAAACTTTTCTTAAATTTGATGCTATGAAGTCTGGATGCCCTATTACCCCCTGACAGGGGTCAATGTGCTTTACGGTTGCAAAGTTGTGTGGCAATAAGCTGTCAGTTATTTCTCTAGACGTTTTACTTCTATGGTGGTTGTTCGTTTAGCTGTAATTTGTTCCTTAATCTTGACATCATTGGTTATTGTTCCTGCATCATGCACACTCTGTATGACCTGTTACCAGAATGGCTTCTGTTGACAACAGTAAAGAAAGCTCACGCTGCAGTTCCATGATATGGTTGCATTTGGTGCAAAGCTCTGTACCAGGATAAAGAGATTGCTCTGTTGCCTATATGTGCGGGCTTCTACCTGTTGCAAGATGCAGATCATGTGTCATTTGAAATCGTGAACACACATAGTAGACATTCACTCCCCATGGCATTTAATAATTCCTATGTGAGTGTATCTCTGAAAACAAGAGTAATTGAGGGCTCTTGAAATGAATATTAGAATTTGAGAGTTTGAGAAGCACTAGAAAGATCAAGCTCAATGATGAGGGGGTTTGCATATAGTTTGGGACAAAAACAAAATTTGCCGCTTCTTTCTGAAATTTGGTTGATTCTCTTGCTCATTAAGTGGTCATAATAGTACCGTATTATCTATTGCTTGGGGGAAGCTTTGTATTTTTTTCATGTTTTCAATTGTATTCAGATGGATACTGTGAAAGAATGTTATGACAGTGTCTCGTTTCGCCTGATCCTATGTTGCTGAAAGTTTTTGGTCTAGCAGAAATACTAGAGTTTTATTAGCTTGGTTGTCTATTGGATTATCATCCGATGAAAAGTTTCTTTAGCATCATCAGGTGGTAAACTGTAATGAAGCATTGGAGCTTTGAAGATGAACTTGGGCAACTTGGTTATTTATTTATTTGTTTATTCTTTGGAGCTGTGCAATGGAAAGAAAATAAAATTTAAAAGCAAAATCTTCCTCTCTTCCTCTATATGATATTGGACGGGAAACACCTTTTTTTTCTGGTAACCTCTGTAACTTCTATTGATTTTGCAATAACATATATTCAGGTGGAGTACCCCTAAGCATTTACTTCGGTTTTAAACTTTGAGTCTCGGTGAAAAGAACAACCTCTTGCATACTATTTACGCTCACAGACCAAACATGATAGAAAAAAAAAAAAAAAAAAAAAGTTTCTATTCTGTCTTGCTTCCTGGGCTTTGGCTATGTTATTATATGAGTTAATATTATATATATTGATATTGTAAATATTACAGTTAAATGCATGATACATATATAAAATTTTTATTTCAAATTCAAATTTATGTTATTATTATTATTTACATCTTCCTAGATACAGGTCGCCGTCTGACCACAATGCCTCTAAATGTCCTACAAAATCTGATCATCCAGTTGAATTATGGTCAAGTGGATGATCAGGCTAGAGACCGTAAACACATTTCTACTAGCAAACGAGAAATAAGTACTTGAATTTGACCACTTGGAAAATATTTTAGAATTCTTAGGCGCTAAATCTAACTACAAAAATTGTTTACTTGTAGCTTTGTCCACAAAAGTATTCACAAATTTTGTTGCCTTTACCTCTGTTCTTTGCTGATTCTTCTTCAGCTTGAAAGCTTGATATTGGGTAATTTCTCACTTCTTCATATTAAAAATTTCGCGCTACGATACTTTACTCTACTACCAATTTCGCACGTGTAATGCAAGGCTTTACATATTAAATTAAAACAAAAATAATGTTAAGAGAAATAGTTCTTGTAATAGAGAAAGTTAAAATGTTCTTTTAAAAATAAGGTATCGCTTTAATGCCAATTTCTGCCAAAAGGCCATAAATTCTAGCAAATTAAAAACAAATCAATGGAATGAGTTAAGAATGTACATTTCAGGGATTATTTGGGTTATTTGCTCTTTATTTTAAATACAATTAAATAAAGCAATATGTTTGTTACCATCAACCATTTGAGACTGAGAAGAAGCCCGTTAAGCTGAAGTTGGGCTTTCATGGCACATCTTGAAATCGTTGTTTAAAATTTCATTTGCATGTATTCATCAATTACAATAATACCTCTACACATATTATTCAAGTAAACAAAATAAAGCACTCAAAAATTTTTGAACTATGCTTGTGAAACTAAAAGCTGACTTTCGACCAATCTTGCTAATTTTTTCTAGCTTGCCAGGAATAGAACTCACCCGAAAGTAGTAAATCCAATTCTACTTAGAAGTTTATTTCATGTCCAATGTCATCTTGTTTTTCCTTCTTTGTTTTCAATTGTAACAGCCCCACCTCCCTCTAAGGCGAACCAAAGGGTTCGGCGGACTGCCTGCCCAACTCTCATTAGGACTCATTCACTCACTACAGTCCTCAATTAAATTTACAAAATAAATCTCAAATATACATCAAATTCTCGAAAAATATACATATCAAGCGAGGCAAATACTAATTCTCAAGCGTAGAATGCACGCATACATTCGTTCAATTCCAAACATTCAAACAATCCTGACTATTACATAAAATGAACTTAAAACAAACTATACATGAGATAATCCATCCAGTCACACAAACAACGTAATACAAGCGCTTCTTTTGCCTCGATCCCTGTGGGGAGAAGA